CTGGTTAGCGCTAACCGTTGGTTAAGAGGTATCAAAATGTATAGGTTTCCATGGTATTTAACGCTGGTTAGCACTAACCATGCTTCGAGCAACCCGGGCCAGGTTGTGAAAATTGCAACATTTCTGTCAACAACGGAGATTATCGCGTCGATTTCAGCCGTGTGATTATTAATATTATTTTCCAAAATAGCATTCTTAGATACCAACTTTGGCCTCCTTTTTCTTGGCCTCTTTTTGACGAAAATGCTTCATTTTTGGAATTTGAGTTCAGGTTAAGAGTACATTTCAAATAAGTGATTTTATAAGCATGATCACATAATTTTTGACTTTATAGCAGCTCTAATGCCTTAATTGGAAGCATTAAGAAGACCCTCAGAGATTTTTTTAGCGTTGTTTAAAATCTAACAGCACTAAGCTTTCTGTGGGAGATAGATGCAAAGGACATTGCATAATCTGCCATGTACCAAAATTAATATTGTGACCTCTTCTGCATTATTTTAATACCAATACTTCTGCACCTGTGAGAATTCCTGATTTTTCTTTTTTTTCTTCAAGATGGAATCCATCAGGAAATTGAGTAATTTTAATTCTCAGTGTACAAAAACCTTGTACCAGAATAATTTAAGCCATATCGCATTCCTTTTTACACTTTTCAAGGGCTATAGATATAATATATTAGTTTTCTGTAATAACACCAAATAAATTTTTTTGGGGAGCACAAGAAAATAAATTTCAAGTTTCACAGGAATTGTGAAAACACGTGTTGGTAAAATTTCATGGGGAAGAGTTCATTTTGAGAAATTGAGAGCCTTTGAAAGTTGTTTTCTCAGGCTCCCATGATAAATTTTCTTTGGTGTTATTACATATAACTGATTGTGTCTATAGCCCTTGGAGACTGTAAAAAAGAATGCAATGTGCTTTAAATTATTCTGGTACTAGGTTGTTGTCCACTAAAAATTACTCAATTTCCTAATGGATTCCGTCTATTAAAACTCTCTCTGATAGTTTACAGATACTCCTTACAAGACTATTTTGAATGACGCTGCACTCATTTTATTACACTTTAATTCTCCATAAGGCAGATGCTTCTTTGAAGGGACAGTCTTTGGGATTTAATTATTTTATGCTAACTTCAATTTTAATGGAAGAGTTATAGTCAATAATATTGACCTCCACAAAGAGTGGTGCAGTCTTTTGCATCACTCTAAAATCCGTTAACTAAAAAATTATGCATGAAACGTTTTGTAGTAAGCTAAGCTACATTGTCCCTGATGGTAAGCTTCTTAAACTTTTTTGTAGACATGTTAAAGACCTAATAATTCTAACAGCAATAACTCAAGGACTTGCAATTTTCACAGACTATATGTGGCTTATTATGCTTCTGGTGAGTAAGTCTTTTTAGTACCTCTGAGCAGGTTCTTGTAATCAAGTCCTAAATAGAATCCTAAGTTAATTTTTGGCACGTCATCACTTTAGAACTCT